GCGCACGACCCGTCCAATCATCGTCTCTTCACGCCAAGGTGCGCTGTCTGTACACGCTATAGATACGCGTGCACCTTCTTCTTCGTATACTCGTCTACTTCGTATACGTTTCAACGAGACGAGGCGGGGTAGATTAATAAACGAAACGATGATCGATTCGTTATTGATTGATTTAAATATCGAGTTCGGGACGACCAACTTCTTGTATGAATGGAAATCTTAATGTTTCATCCGCGCACGGAAAATTACAATTTCTATCTTGTTCACGTCGATCAAGTGCGCAAGTACATTCTCGTCTGCTCACTCGTCTCGATGAAAAATATACGTGCGCTATGGTACGTACTGAAACGGGCGTGACGACATTGTTGACTCGATCTCGTTCCCCGATATCTCGTACGACGTAGTTGTTGGCAAAGTTGTTTGCCAACATGTCGTATCTATGCCGTGACACCTTGGAAACATGTGTTGCGACGCAAGATAAATCCACGTGGAATATTAAGAAAGAAAAAAAAAAAAAGAATCGATTCGAATAGCTCGACGATGGAGGGGAAATAGAGTGTCCGTTTAACGGGGCGAATCCGTACGATTCGTTAGCCAATTCTCGAGGGTGGGTGGAAGATAGTCCGAAGATAGTCTTCTATCCCTCCTCTCCCCTCGTCTCGAATCGCGATGCGCCACGAGTCGAGGAATACATTATCGGCGATGCAATCTCCCCGTGGTTAAGAAAGATATGTATGGGGACGTGGAGGGGTGGCGTCTATCCATCCGCAGATTGAAATCTTCGCTGACGAAAATTGCCACGCGGAAGCAAGCCACGATCAGCTTTATTGAAACTGTTCGCGTGTTTGGAGACCCAACCCCTCTCCAGGACCCGAGATTGCCGTCGATTAAGTTGTTACAAGACGGCGGGGCGTATTCACAAGGCGAACGAGTTTCGAATTCTTTCGAACCATCGAGTCGAAATGGTTAAAGGTGGAACGATTCTATTCGTCGAGTTTTTCTTTTTCTCTTTTTTCTTTTTTCTTACGCGTGTATCACGCGTGTGTCACGTGAATGCGGGTATCCATTGAGCGATCTCGAGATAACGTGGGTCATAGAGCCACGCTCGTTTAACGATATTGCGCGTCCTTTCGAAACCGGGGGAGCTTATTACATTGATGCCGAGGCTCCCATTGATTCATCGTATAACTCGAGCGAAGGGAGCACTCCTCGTCCATTCAAATGTGGAATGGCTTAAATGGATGTTTTTCTTTCTTTTCTCTTCTTTTTTTTTTTTTTTTTTTCTTTTTTGGGACGAATGTCCTGCCTTCTTCGAATGTTCTGCTTCTTCTCTTCGCGCTTTCACATTTTCCACGTGAAGCTCGTGTTTTCCGAACTTTGTTTCTTTGCAACTTCAAATATGCATGTAAATGCATCCTCAAAACTTTGTACACCTCTTCTCTTGATAAATAGCCTATCCAATCTTTTCATCGTACGCGAACGCTTAATTAATTGCTGGATGTATAATTGTTTGAAATATAACGTATATATAAACTTTTGTCCGGATTCTCGATCGAACAAACGTGGAAAACGTAGGAAACTCCCCTTCCTCCTTCAATAATCTTAACCCCGTATAATTAACCGCGGTGAAGTAACTTTCCTTCAACCAGCTTCAACCCTTTGAATTTTCAATTACGCTCTTCGAGGTAACTCGTCGCCGGTCGTTTACGCCATAAGCACGACGCCGCAAACAACCGACTCTCCTTTTATATCGCCAACTCGGTGGAAAACGTGGAGACAGACGTACACGTTTTTACGCCCCCGTTTCGCAGGGCGTTGCGAAACCATCCGCTGTGACTCCTCGCCACTCCACGCCGAAGGGCGAGAAGCTGCTCTGCGGGGCTATTAGATTCGCCAACACGGAGCTTCCCTCCACTATTTCTAAACCAATATCCTAAATCCATCCGATGGTCGATCTTTCACGCGCCTCTTCTCCTCCCATCGGTTTAACTTTTCTTTTGTTTCTTTCTTTTTTTCTCATTTTCCATTCGGTGAAGGAGAGAAAACGAGGATCGGAGTCGTGACGAGCGGTATAATTGAGAGAAACACGGGAGAAACGGCGGCGATTAATCCAATTAGTTGGAGCAGCTTGTTGTCAAAATACACCGCAAATCGTTGCCCGGCCCGGTAAACCCTCGTCCATCCCGTTTATTTTCCAGTTACAGCTCGTATCGGCATTTCTGCTTCAATCAACACTTCCAACGTTTCGATTTTTCGCGCGATTGATCGTGTTTCGTATGAAGTCAAGGGTGTTTCGTCGAAACGAAACTTCAAAAAGGAAGGAAAAACTGGGCGAGGATCGAAGAAATCGGATGGCTAACGCTTAAGGCGAATATTCGCCGCGGCCACGAGTCAATGTATATTCAATTTCGAGCAAGTTTCGGGATAATTCACGGTTCAAGATCGAGGAATCGATCGATCGAAAAGAAGAAGAGGATTATCGAAGGCTTCGCGATCGACGATAACGTTGATTTACATCTTGGGAGGGGGAGAGGGAAGAAGGATATCGATGCCCGGCCATAAATCCATCGGTTCGTTCGTTCGCCCGTCCGACGAATTAATCCGGGGTTGTTTGTTGTTTTACCCAAGTTCGCCGCAACTTGCAATAACTGCGCCAAACTGCGATTAGAGCCGACATCGTGTTAACGTTATTAGTGTATTACTCGCCAACCCATTATCACTTCACCTTCGAACGTGTAATTCGTCCGATAAACGGATTTCGTGGTGGTGGAGATGAATGAAAAAAAAAAAAAAGGAAAAGAAAAAGAAAGAGGGAGGAGAGAAGAAACGGAGGAGGTTTGCGATAAGTAAATGGAGTGAGTGTACCGCGATCAAATTGACTTAGAAGAATTTCCGTTTCTTCGTGAACGGCGGAGGTCTGAGGAGGGGGTGGAGGAGGGGATATTAAAGACGCCTCGCGACAGGCATCGATTTTCTCTCGGCCATCGGTGGAACGCAATAATTCCGTGTACTTTTCTCGATCCTCTGTCTAAAGCCTCGACGACGAATCAATCGCTTTAGAGTTCATTTCCTTCGACGACCCGATCCTCCGCGCTCAATTTCCGAACGCTTGACGCACGGAAAGAGATCAACGCGTTACCGATTCTCTTTCGGCCGTCGATCACATTGGTTAGAGCTGTTCAGAGTTACTTTTATCGCGTGATTTTTTTTCTTTTTTCTTTTTCTTTCTTTCCTTCTTTCCTTCGTTATTTAGTAGAAGTAGTTCGTTGTAATAAAGAGTTTTATCGAGTTTGAATGGACTTTATTTTTTTATGCGAACGTTAATAAATAAGTGAATCGGTGTATGCCTGAGTCGAATCAGCCAGGTTGAACGCGTAATGTTTGGTTTGTTCGAGTTGCAATAGATGATTTTTCCCCGTGTTTAATTAATCAGGGAAGCGAATTCGAATTTATTACTTATGAGTTCAATACACTTATTATTAAAATTGGCTATTAAAATTGCATATCAATTTCCTCGTATTAGTAATATATATATATATTTAATATGTAGAAACTTTAAATTAAAAAGATACGTGCTCGTTCGAAATGATTAAGCTATTAAATTCGAAAAATGATATTATAGATTTTTTTCGATTACACGAATCGTATAAAAAAAATACACACTTTTGGAATATACGTTTCTCTTAGGAATTCTTTTTTCTTTTTTTAAACCATGTTATATGAAAATACAACTTTCACAGTACAAATTAATCCGTGTTTCATCAAGGATCGATCGATCATATCTTGGTTCATACATTATACATTTCAATACGTTTCGTTCATTGATATATTATTCTTCGCTTGCTTCTCTTTAAACACGTACGAAACGTATGAAAGTATTTAATTCGTGGTCTTATTTAAATTACTCGAAACGTTAAAACAACAATTCTCTTGGCGAGATCGTGCCACATTGTCCCCTCGTTTCAATATTAATTAAGTCGTAAACGGGAAAAACCTCGTTTTTCTTCGGCTGTGAGACGCAGCTAGCCGTAAAAATGAGCTACGTTCGTGTGCCGGGAGGGAGGGCGTAACGAGGCGCAACGAGTCGCAACGGTACAAAGTAACGAGAAAGAGGAACGCGGTTGTCTTCGAGGTGCGCGTAAACTTCCGGTCGGGCAGGTGGCCCCGCACCAACGACTCTTTTCGCGGCCATTTTTCGGCGACCAACCTCATTGTTCGCGATTTCCATTGTTCCTTGGCCGCTGTGAAAATGGATTTTCATTATTTTTCACCCTCCCCTCGTAGGGATTTTCTCATAGAGATTTTTGACAACTGGATCGGAGGTTATTAAGCGCCAAACTTCGCTTCCGATTATATCGCTTTTCCATCCTTTTTTTCTTTTTCTTTTTTCTTTTTTTTTTTTTTCATCCATTCGAGGATGACTCGAACTCGACTCGAAAATTTGTCAAATATTCTACGTGGAAAATGAAAGGACACTTTCGTCTCCTCGAAGAGGCAATTACTTTCTAAGAGACATTTCTCGTATAGATGTATCCTCGAATATACGATTCACGAGGGAAAGTAAACTAACGACTCGTTATCGTAAATTTATAGGAATTTAAAAAGCTCGATCTATCTTAAATGATCTTCGTTTACTTAGCGTCGGGAAAAATGCGTTTCCTTGCTGCGCTCTTGTTCCCAGTGTGGAATTATCTGGCAAGTATTTTCGAACGAGCGAAGAATGTTTCATAATAAAACAAGGGCCTCTTTGAAAAATTCCGGTCGAGGAGAGCGAGGCGTCTAGAAGAATTACCAGGGCATTCGTCGCACGAACGAGCCTCATAAAAGTGAAACGTTGAACGTTATTCTCTGCCCGTTGATTATAAGATTGCGCAAATATTTCTCGTTTCTCCTCCATTCTCACCTGTCTCATCGCGCTACGTTTCACCCGATTTTTCCAAAAATTATCTCGAAAAATTTATCACCTTCCCAAATTCTTAATCGCGGATCAAAGTTAAAAGTTAAAAGTTAAAAGTCCAAAAGAGATCCGCGAGAAAGTGAAAATTAGAAGTGGAAAACATTAGGAGGGGCGTTTACGCGTTAACCTGTCTCTCGCCAACGGAGGCAGAGTTGGCCAAGTGTCGCGACGCAAAACGAGAAGGGATTTGAATGTTAAGGATGCTCTTTCTCGAGATTAGCGAAATCTTGGAGCCAAACTGTACGACGATTTTCGGCTCTTAGCAGGCGGCGGTAATCTACGAGTCAAGTCCGCGAGAAGAGAAGGGAGGAGAAAAGGCTGGAAGACTGCGGAAGAGAGAGAAGACTCTTTGCGCTCTCCGGGAAGTCCGACCAAGTTTCAAACTAAGTTAGTAACGTAGATCCTATTAACTAGTAAGGTAATATGGGCCAAGAGTCTTATCGCGGAAATTATCTTCGCCTTATACGATTCTTTTTTAAACTCCTCTCCTCTTAAGCCTTGCCCCCTTCTATATGTTTCCCTTTCTCTCTCGTTCCTTCCTTCATCCCCTTTTCCTCACCCTCCCTTTGACCGTGTTCGAAGAAACGCGAGTTCTTGCTGAAAGCCAATCCGAAGATACGTTCCTCCTTTGTGAGTCGTCTCTCGTTCGCGTTTAAATTGAATAGACGCGATTTATCGCGCGTGCGAATGACACGATGGTAATTGCGAATGGAAACACGATCCTCGTCTATTTTTTTTTTTTTTTTTTTTTTTTTTTTTCCGTTCGACAACGCTCGAGAATAGGAAAGAGAGTTTTAGGAAGGGGAGGAGGAAAATTGAAAACGAATCAAGGAATCGAATCGAAGCATCGATGCCCGTAATTTAATTTCCGCCTGACAATTATAACCAAAATTATTACTCGATTCGTTGAGTCTTAATAACAGCTTTTATACCCTTATTTTCCGGGGAAAAGGGGAGATAATAAACGGAAATTGGATGTAATTTTATTCGACCAGCTTCGAAATCCTTCGATTCTCTCGACAGAAGAATCGAATAAGCAATTTGTCGCGACAACAGTAGATATCCGTCTCGTCGCGGATTTCTCTCCCTCCATCTTTAAACGTGAACGCGAAATTGGAAAATCTAGCCTAATAATAGTGACACGGGGCGATTCTTACGTACGAACGAAAAATTCCAGCTTCTTTCCAGATTGATTAAAAACGGAGGATCGTCTCTGGTCATACTTTATCGATTCCTCGGTCGAAAATTCGATCGAAAACGGGAAGAGGAAAGAACACGGGGGGGGGGGGAAAAAAAAAAAAAAAAAAAAAACAACCGTGTTCAAGGGTAATCCACAGAGCTCTTTGCGGGGAAATCCGGCGAAACTGGGTTTTCCAATCTTGGACCAATTAAAGACTCGATTGCCTCGCGGTTTCAGCAAGCGAATTCCAGCGATCCCGGTTTCAACGTTTTCAGCTTCTAAGAGGCGACGTTAATCGATGGTATACGATAATAGAATATTCTCGGGACGGTGGGGGAGGCCAGATCCGATAAATCAGGATTTCTCGATTAATTCTCTATTCGATACTCGGTTGCTCGCTTCTATTCTGGATGTACGTACGTACATTATTCTCTATTCACTCTAAAGAGAGTGGGAGGAGGAGGCGAAACGAGCGAAAAGCAAGTTTTTTTCCAGGAACCGGCCTCTCGCGGCCGATGATAAATTCCGTCCGTTCTTCGGCTCGGTACTTTTGTGCGCCTGTTCTAGGTGGTGGGGTCAGGACGATTCCGGTTGTCAGGTAGGATTCATGGTGACGCAGGTGGCTGGCGAAAAAAGTGAATTTTCGGCGTGACATCGGTTATTCCGGTCGTGGCTCCGACGACATAAATCGTAAGCCACCGACTGCCGAGCAATCAATACCAAGTGGCTGCACGCGCGTATTCCTACGTGTGTGTGTGCGAGTCCAATGTCTATCCCTTGCTTGCTCCCTCTGCGAATCTCGGTTCGACAATGAGAGACCGAGAGTGCCCGTCATCGTATCTTCGATATGTTCGATAAGGGTGGATCGATGCGCCACCTGCTCGCCGAAAAGTGCATACCGTCTGATTGCGAACAGAACTTGGAATGTGTATACGGCAGTAATTCGCACATCTCCGAAACTCTCGTTCCAACGATTCCTCGTTTCGACGATTCGAAGACGGATAAATCGAAACGTCTAGGTGGATGAGCTCGTTTCGAAGTCATCGTGTTCCCCTTTTCATTAGTCCTCCTCGAATCGTTTTCAGCGAAACTCTCTCTCTCTCTCTCTCTCTCTCTGTTCTTAACGCGAGCCTCCTCTTTCTCCGGCACGCACCGCGGACGTCTCCGTTTCCCGGGTACTCGAGCAGAAACGCTGCCGCGGCACTCGCCACCCTCGCTCGCCACCGCTTTTTCGAGCCCCCTTCACCCTCTCCCTTCCCCGAGACCCTTCTTCACCGACGCAGTTACCACCACTGACATCCCCTCTCTCCGTCACGGGGTTGCTCCGTCACTACTAGTCATTTCAGGGGCGACCACTCGCGCTATCGAGCACGGCTGAAGCGCGTCTGAAACCTCGCCGA